GATATTGTACATGGGCTAATAACAACTGCAAAATCCAAAAGCCCATTCTAATGTGCACGTTTCCCATGGCCCATCCAACAGCTATTTCTGAGCATTGCCATCCACAAGGTCAGAACTGGATTTGTTGAACACTAGATTCCTTGAACATTGCTTTCCTTTGAAGATGGAGCTCACTTGCTGGATTGCTCCCTCCAGCTTCATGCTGTGTCATCCTCTGTACCTGTTACCTGTCAGATGGCTGCTGCTGCTGCTGCTTCCTCTTCCTCTTCTTCTTATAACATGATCTTACCACTTTTTCAAGAGTGCTATACCTGTTTCCAGAAACAGCTCAAGTGACATGGAGGAGAGATTGGAAAAGCTCCCTTTCATGTCACTTCATGCCCCCTCTGCTTATAGCTGGGCAGCTTGATGGGTAGCTAAACCCACAGTTGTAAACATCTCTCTAAACCCACCCCACCCCATTGGACAATGGAGAATGAATGCTGGTTTTTCCCACTGGCAAGTGATGTGTGGTAGAAGAAGAAGTGAAGCCAGGACAATCTACCTATTTCTTTAACTTGGCCTGCAATCAATGAGGACAGCCCCATATGCCAGCCTCATTTCTCTGGCAGAGTAGGGATCATGAATGGAGGCAGTAAATTTTATGACAACATACTTTTTGCCAGCTGAAGGACTGGTAGGTAACATGTTGACTCAGCTTTGAAGAGAGCCCCATATCTGGTCTTTGAACTCACCCAAACTTCCATAGGGTGTCTGTGCAAGAACAGTTGTGGTAGTGAAGAACCATCATGCCTTAAATATTCAGTTGGCTTCTTGTCTAGGTCTGCTCAGAAATGTGGATGATAGTTTTTTTCTCCTGTTTTCTTTCTCAAAACTCCCATGATAGCCTAGGGTGCTATCCTAATTCTGTCATCAGTAGAACATTTTCATGAAATATAAAACTTTGGGGCATCTTACAGACAAATATATTTTTGGCATTAGCTTTACGGACTATCCATTCTATTAAGTTCACATGGAATATGAGAAGGAGGAAATTATTTGTTTATCCAAGCAATTTCTATGAGGGCCCCACTGTTGAATCTTGGGAGAAATAAAGTAGAAATAATCTTAGCCTTCGTCCCTTAATTCTGGTCAATTACTCATATAAAAGGAGGAAGATAGTTCTTCACAAGGAAACTAAAATCTTAACATTAGATTGCTAATTAATTTTGATGATAGAATATACTTCACTGGCATAATTGAGAAAAATAAGCCGGTTTTGGCAAAATAAAACTTTAAATATGTCACTTGTACTGTATATGTATCACTATATACTTAGTGTTTATAGCTAATAATAACAATTTGGTGAGTGTAACCTTAGATTTAGATTTGTATATAGAGCACTTCTTTGTTCTCTAGCTGAAGTATCAGCGTGTAAATATGTGGGCACTTCAAAGAATAGGCAGTAAGAAGGGGAAATGGAGACATGGCTAAATGGGAAAAAATGTGTAATTACCTGAAATACACAAACTTTGATTTAAATTGATTTAATTTGAGTAAGATATAGGTACCAAATTCTTTCCAGATAAGAGAGGAAGTAATCTGCAGTTTCCTTTGCCTATTTAATTTTTTTTTATATAATAATTTAAAGGGGAAAAAAAGTCACTGAGTTTTAAAAACTATTCAGCTTCTTAGCCTCAAATCATAGCTTTGTGAATGAAGTAGTGCTCTTACCGCTCCCAAATGTCTTCCTCTGTGTAACCAAATTGATTATCTATAGAAGGTGACAATCAATTTACATAATCAATCACTTTATATAAAAGGTAGTGCCAGGACTATACCTCTTCCCAAAATGGGGCTAGGTTGAGGGACCCAGCACACTATCTAAGTCTAGGAGTAAGGCGAGATGCAGGAGAATTATAACCTAACCTCTGCAACGTCTTTGTGCAGACACAGGGAGCAATTTGTGTGCAAAGGCCTTTTCAGTAAATTGGATCATCTATTATTGTGTCAGAGCTCTTTTTAAATTTTAGTTAAGTCTTTAATTACACTGGATTACCCTATTCATCTTTAGCTAAAATAATAATTTTACCATTGTCATAAATAAAATATGGCTTTTAATAAGATTAGTAATTAAATGCAATCTTAAGTAATTGCATTAAGCTATGTATAATAATGAGCAGTCTGAATGTTCTCTCATTCTTATTGCTGCAATAATCCATTTGCAGCACCAGTAGAGTTTATTTTTGTTCAGCCCTGAAGAATAATTACACTTTTACTATCTCTTTAATTCTTTTTAATAATCAGTGTTTGTTAAAACTGGTTAGGATATGAAATTTTATTTGTTTCTTAATTGTGTAATAATCATTAGAATCATTAGGTTGATACTCTTCTATCCTGAACACACAAGGCACACTCAGTGGAGTAGTGTTTCTCAACCTTGGCAACTTTAAGACATATGGACTTCAACTCCCAGAATTCCCATGCTGGCTGGGGATTTCTGGGAGCTGAAGTCCACACATCTTAAAGTTGCCAAGGTTGAGAAACATTGCAGTAGAATATTGTTTGCAACAGTGCTGGAATGATAGGGGCATCTGCGGGTGGGGTGGGGGGTCAGAAGGTCAATATGGTAGATGTGACCATACAGTAGAAGCTCCACTCTTTGTACTGTGTTGACTTTGCAGGCATGTAGAAGCAGGCAGGGCTTTGATCATGAAGTCATCTTGCCTATTTTGAGCCCCTCACCCCCAGATACCTCTATACCCCTCCATAATGGCCTACCTCCTCTCCAAAAGAGATACTTATCTTCGTTCAGCTAGGTAAACATAATAAGCCCTTTGGGACAGGTTATTTATAGATTTTTTTAAAAGAAAAGTATAACTTTTCTAAACACATGGGTAGGTTTTGAAACATTTGGTATGTTGATCTTGCCTTACCTTCCCCCCAACCCCCTCCCCATAAGATATGTTCAAGTCAGAGTCTTCTTTAAGTGTGCTAATACTTAGAACAGTGTTTCTCAACCATGGCAACTTTAAGATGTGTGGGCTTCAACTCCCAGAATTACCCAGCCAGCATTGATCAATAATCCTAACCCTAACCGATTTGATGGGGGAGAAAAGCACAAGACAGCCAAAATATGTAGACGTCATCAATTGGTGTGTGAAACTTACTGGTGAGCCAAAAAGAAACAAGAACCAAATAAAAATCTGAATGTCTGTATCAGGCTGAAGCCACTTGGCTACCAAGCCATCATTCCTCCTTGTCCTATCCTGCTGGAGGTGAAGGTTGCATGAAACCATGTCTTCTACTTTACAACCAGGCACTTTTCTAATCACTCTAACCATGGCTATAGGCTTCAAGGGCAATTGAAATGAGGAAAAGAAATTGGGGGAAAATGCAACCAGGGATTTTGCATGCCTGATAGTCCCTACTAAAGAAAAGGTGAAATAGATAGGATTCTTGTTAATTTCATCTGATGTCATGCCAGAATTTCACTTGTTAGGATGATCCAAGAGGTGAGAGTTCCATCAAGTGAGGAACAGACCTCCCACAAATTCTTCAGAGCTTCACCGTTGCAAAAAATAAAATTTAAAAAATGTGAGTTAGACTGTACCTAAGCCAGAAATAAATTGGCTGAAGTACTGGTAAATTAAAATACTTTATTTCAGTTATAACATAAAAAATAGAAATAAAGTATCATTAAAAAATAAAATGAGATAAATTTTAGGAGATGGAATTTTTAAAATATAAGCTGAACACAAGCAGCACAAAAATGAGAGAAACTTTCTTAGTTCAAATAAATCATTTTGAACACTGAGGCTTTTAGCATTAAGGTTTCAGTGAAGAAGCCATCATAAACAGTTTGAAATAGATAGCAGTTATTGTTATTACTAAAGCTGGAGCAAGTTTAATCAAATCGTTCCTAGAGAGGTTCTGCTGAATCTTGCTGGCTATTAAAAATAAATTGATGACATTATAAGAGAGTACATCACTCTGATCAGCTAAAAGATAATTAAGGTAAAAGACAATGCAGCTTGGGTATTGAGTTATTAAAGGGGTATACATTTGTACTGCAGTTTGTGAGAGGCTGGACAGTAAGGAAGTGTGTGGGTATTGTCCAGTGGCTCCTTTGTTGCAGAACAAAAAGAATTTCCACAATTGCAACAATTCAAGATATAGCCCTATTTTCTTCCTGTCCTACACAGCAGAATATTTGCCCCCCACCCCCGCCCACAAACATACACTTCTAAGCAGACTGGTCTATTTTCATCTGTCCTTTCTTTTTCCAGGGGTCACATTTGTGCTTATCTTGGTTTTTACTGACAGTGCAAGAACCGGCCTGGGACTACTTTTGAACTGGTGCAGTGCACAAGTGAGCCAGATCTACCCCCAGTGGTGATTGCGAATCTCAGTGGGAGCTGAGAAATGTGCCAATGATAGCTGGTTCATAAAATGTCTGCTAGGATATTGTTTCGATGCTTAGGGAAATCCAGAAATATCTATTATTTTGCCAAAATACTACTTCCTCCTCCTGGTTTATATACCAATTTGCTTCTCACTGGAAAGCAATACATACATAAGAAAAAACAATAAATATTCATCTTTAGGGCAAAGTACAAAGCAAGAATTTTCTATTAATGACAAGTTGAAAAATAAATGTTTAAAATAATGTTTCAGGGAACTGTTGCAAATCTTAACCTAAGGAAAGACAAATGCTTAATTGTGAACTGAGGTTTTGTCTGTTGTAATTATTTTTCTCTTTTCTACATTCAGTGCCTTCAATTCAGAATTAAATTAGATGATTTGTATTTGTTTATCAAGGAGATATTATATTTTTAAATAATTACTGCTTGTATTCTGTTTCAGGAGAGAAAGATGAGTTTTATTCATTTTAATCTTATTTATTATGCTGCTTTTTAATTTTCTTACTCTATCATATGATTTATTTTATGAATTGACATATATTCATTAATATTTATGTGCTTTTCTTTTCCATCCATCTCTCTCCATCTCATGAAAAGCACATCAGGGTAAGTTAAACCACAATGGTTGCTGATCATATTCATTTTCAGCACCATGCTTAAATTTCCTCTTCTATTTCATTTTATTTATTTATTTATTTATTTATTTATTTATTTCTAACTATTTTGAATTGATAATCTTATCTGAGAATTGAACTAAAATTGAATATTAGAATATTCTAAATTGGCAACATTTGACACTGTTTCAAGGTTCGTTTTTAGTCTATGGATATAAATCTTATCTGAGAATTGAACTAAAATTGAATATTAGAATATTCTAAATTGGCAACATTTGACACTGTTTCAAGGTTCGTTTTTAGTCTATGGATATAAATCTTATCTGAGAATTGAACTAAAATTGAATATTAGAATATTCTAAATTGGCAACATTTGACACTGTTTCAAGGTTCGTTTTTAGTCTATGGATATACCAATTGATTTTTAAATGAACTGAGTGAAATTCTAAATGTGTTTAAATAAATTATTAAAATGTTCGAAACCTACTATATATGACTTAGATTTCACTCAATCATTTGATTCATTTACTTGTTCTATATGAGCAGTATATAGAACAACAATATTTTGTATTGATTTTTTCACTTTTGATTTCATCTCTTACCAATTCAGTTAATTTGCAAATTTGAAAATATGTTTTATTGCTCTTTAGATTTTAACTAAAAATAGTAAAATGCAAAGCTAGCTTACTTACTTAGATGAAAAACTCACTGACATAAACAGGCCTCATTCCTAGTCAATGTGCACAGGCTTGCACTGTTTTTATCTTGTAAACAATCTGAAAATCTAGAAGGAAAACAAAGGTACTTGTAAGTATCAATATAAAGTGAGTAGAATGATTTATTGAAATATAGATGAGTTTTGGAGGTTTACAAAAAATCCTGTTGCTGAAAGTCAGAATATTCATTTAAAATTTTTGAAGAAAAGGTATTACTATTCCAGCTTCAGTTGAATGAATGTATGAATGAATGAATGAATGAATGAATGAATGAATGAATGAATATATGTATATGTATATGTATACACACATACACACACACGCACACACACACTGTATATATATTACAGTTTTAATGTACCTTAAGTCTCCAAATGTCGGTAATTGTTTTCACCATGCTTACAATAAGATTATGAGTTTATGCATTAGTCAGTTTGATTGATTCGTCATAATGGTGGTATATTAGTGACATTATTCCTTATAGATGTTGAATATTAACTACCTGGCATTCTAAACTATGTTTGCATTTGCACAATATTGATGTTTAAGAAAGTGATAATGCTCATTATGCTCAACATACATTCATTTAAACATAGTAATGACAGCATTATTTTAGCAAGCTGAGCTTTTACTGAAAGTATATTAAATTTTGTCATTAGAAAGTATATTAAATTTTTTGTCATTAGATCTAAATAATCCATTTAAACTAATTTTTGTTTTGCTTTTCATACTTTTTATCCTATCAGAATTTGGCTTTAACATTTGTTTTTTTTTAAAAAAAAAATTACATAAGTGGTGGATTCAGTTTGCTGACACTGCACTATGTGAAACCAAAAAGTATTTTAAAAAATTAAAATTACACAAAAACATAGATAAGATTTATCATTATTCTAAACTGAAATCTTGATTTCATTCTTACCTTTCACTATTAAATAAAATTATAAGCAGCTGACTAATCTGATTTTTATTTTTTCTCCTATACTCTAGATTGAATTTCAGTTTTCATCTAGACCAGCTTTCTCCAATCTGGTGTCCTCCAAGAGTTTTGGACTACAGCCATTGGCCATGCTGACTAAGGAGGATGGAAGTTATATTTCAGTACATCAGGCAAATGCCAAGTTGGGAAAGCTGATCTAGTTTAACATTCCTGAAAAGGGTAGAACTTTCCTGTTGGATTCCACCTTTCATCATTGGCACTCTGGATTAGAATCTCTTTTCTAAAATAAATATGTATATTATTGTATAAATTAAGTTCACTGAATTAATGTTTTATGTGCTAAATTAGGCCACATTCCTATAATATTTAGAAGAAAACTTATTATAAACTCCATATTCAGGTTATCTTTCATATCTACATCTGAACTGGATTGAGTCTTCAAAATAAAGTAACAGTATCTACTCTCATCTAACATCACAAGAGAATATGCTTGACATTCCATGGCAAACAAACTAATATTGACAGTTTTCGAAACATCTGAATTTGCAGATGAAATCCACTATACCTTACTATTAATGAGCTTTACAATTTTCAAATATTTATGAATATACTATCGAATGGCTAAGATTAATTATGAGGCTTTAGTTGCACAGTGCAGTAATAGGTGTCCTATTCCGATTCTAGGAAATCTATGAAAAATTTCAAACTCAATTGTATATTGTTCAAATGATCACTGTAAGGCAACGTGCCCCAAGTTGGTTGGGAACTGTAAAAGTTGAAGTTAACCAAGTTGAGAAACTCTGGCTTAAGGCACAAAAGCTTTTATACATATATAGATACAGATATAGATATACATACACACACACACACATATGTGTGTGTGCATGCCAAGTATCTGTCTCCATGCTAAGTATGGAGTACAGGTAAACCTAGCCTAAGATATTTTGCTGCCTGATGCAGAACAGAAAATCTCCCTTACATTTTCTCAAGATATATAAACAAGCAAAGCTGGCCATAATTTTGACACCTGAGGCAGAAAATCCCACAAGCACCTCTTGGCATAAAAATAAAGCAGTAACTCCCATAAGTATCAGCCTTCATGAGTCCCCAAAACAGCTATGCATGTGGCTGCTCTCGTCTAATGGGAGGCAAAACCATTACTGGTCCTGACGAAATCTTAGTTTAACTTATACCGCCTTGAGCTGACCAAAAATAGAAATTGAATGAATGAATTATTGAATGAATCATCTGAAAAAACAATGAGAAAAGGTATTCAATGGGGAAATTTGTTGTCTCACCATATTATGTCATGTGTTGGAACGTTAAAACAAAAATCAGAGATCTTTTTTAAATCTTAATCCATCTTTTATTATTATTTTTTTATTTAAACAATGTATATGGCCTCCCATCTCGCTGCACCAATTTTTATCCCATTGCTAGAAAGAGAGAGACTTGGGCTTCTAGTAGTACAAAATTGTTCTGCATATTTTCCGAAGCCTACTTCTTTTTGTTTGTTTTCCCTTTCCCCAAGCTGCTATTCTGATTCGTTTGTGCGTGCTGGCCTTATACACATACTGCATTAGTACACCAATGATCCATAGCCTTAGCGGGTATGCCACTGATATGTTATAAACATGTGGACCAATTGAAATATATTGGAACTGCTGCAGGTCACAAGAGTTTTACTGGTGGCAGATGCCATGTAGACTTGGGGGCTCAGAATGCTATAAATGCAATTCTCAAGTAAAGTTCCATCCATAAACTTCCCCAATCACATCTGCTCTGTATGGCAGGGAAGCTACAGACCATGGATTTAGAGTTTTCTTTGGGCCAGTTATAATACCGCTCCTATGTTGTTATAATTTGGAATATTTCTGTAATTTTTTTTTTAAATGTGGTGACTTATACAATGGAAGGGACAGTCAGGGAAGCATATTGTAAGAAGGTCCAAATACTTTAAGATGATTGAAAATGCATTGTGCTTGGTTTTAATTTTTTGGAATTAAATTTATGTCAATCGGAAATACTGGAGAAAAAAAAACAGTAGTGGTAAATTAACTTTTCAGCGTTTATCTCTTAACCATCCTAAGGGAATGATAGATTTTTCCAAGCTTTTCCTGCCTTCACATATAATCATAAATTTCAATTTGCAAATAAGATTAGATATCTTTGAGAATCATTATTAGCAGGAGACTGAGCTGAGTCTTGTGCTCTGCTACTCTGTTTAACAATATCAAACAAAAGCCAGGATTGCATGCATATTTCTTTCTCCTTTCTGAAACTGCCTTAATCTCCCAGAAAGCTGCTGTGGAAGGTTGTGAGCAGGGAGGCCACTGGACACTGGAGTGTATCTTACAGGGTTGCAGTAAGAGAGAGTAAACTCACTATGATTGTTGAAAACTGTAAGTTTCTTATTATTCTAAGTGAGAAATATACGAGTGTTGTAAAGAAAGCTAGCTATCAGAAAGTTGTGGTAGAATATCTTGAGCCACCTAGATGATGTGATCACTTTTCACCTCTGCAGAAACCATTTCAGAAGTAGGAAGATTTATAGCAACTAATGGCCCTGCATATCTTGCCCATTTACAAGACCTAGTATCTTTCATCACAGGGCATCACAGGGCTGGAGCTGAAGTCCACCAATGTCTCGAGGGCCACAGGATACACATCTCCAGTGTATACTTACACTTACTTACACTTGCAGGTTCACAGCCATATCAAATTACAAGCTGCTTGACAAATCATACTTTTGCTAAGATATAGGAAACTTTTGCTTTTTAAAAAAATATGTCTTTGAAAATGAAAATCAATTATAGCTAGGTTTTTGCAGATAGCCTAATGTGGAAGACTACAGCTGACACATGTTTAACAGGCTGTAAAAATCTTGTTTGTTAAACAACCTGGGCATTTTCTTATATTAAAGTCTGATTATTTTCTACTTTATGATTAGGGCATATTTTGGGGTGTTTCCAAATATTAACAGCTTCTAACAAAATAGAATGATTATTGTTTCATAAACCAGTTTGAGAAAGACTGGAATATGAAGTTAGGAAAATTGGTTTGTTGTTATTTTAAATGGGCCAAGATGAATTGCATCTGTGGAAACAAGAAAATGTTTCTCCAAGGAAGGTAAATACTCTTGCAAAGCGGGGAACAAAAAAAGGGGGGCTTTCTAAACTTCAAAGACTACAGTAAACAAGTGAAAAACTCTAATGGGTGACATGGTACATTACAATTGTATTTCATCCAAACTGAATTCCATTTGTGGTGTTGCTAAGTATTAGTCCCTGCTTTAACAATCTGTAATGCACTTTTAGGCATGAACTTCTAGAGGAAGCTCGGAGGAAGGGGTTACCCTTTGCACAGTGGGATGGGCCCACAGTAGTTGCCTGGCTAGAGGTAAGCTTTAGAAAAACCTTCTAAAAATATTAGTATACCTGATTTTATTTGCTATTCAAACTTTCTCTTACATTTTTTTTTGGGGGGTGCCTTCGAGGCAGTGTTGGCTCCTAGCAACTGCCTGGACTAGGCCTTGCAGTTTTCATGGCAAGATTTCAGAAGTGGTTTGCCATAGCCTGCTTCCTAGGGCTGAGAGAGAGGGACTGGCCCAAAGTCACCCAGTTGGCTTTGTGCCTAAGGCAGGACTAGAACTCACAGTCTCCTGGTTTCTAGCCTGATGCCTTAACCACTACACCAAACTGGCTCTTACTCTTACTCATTTTTAAGATAGACACAGAAATAGATTCATCAGGGAAAGCAAAAAATATTCTATAAGCCTCTCCTCATAGTTATCCATTGCCATGGGAGGAAAAGGACAAACAGAAATTGGGACACATTGATAAAATAGGTTTGCGTGTGCCCATATCCCATATAACCGGACAGATTACATTCCATATTGAGGAAAGCTTAGTTCTCCTTTTTTATAACCCGGTATTTTCTATGTTTGGATCTGCAGTTCTTAGAATGGTAGACCTGGAGATAATGAGGCTGAGAAAATCTAGGCTACTTTATTAATTCATACATGGATGTTATATGGAAGCAGGTAGTCTTGGGATTCTATAATATCTAAATTCACTTTAAGAAGGTGACCGAACACAGACCATTTTGATTGACATAGACACTCTACTGTGTCTTCTAGATTGTAGACTAAAAGGCCGGATTTGTTCCAAGACTGAGCAGTTGCTGAATTCCCAGATAATTATAATGTTGTAATTTAATCAGAATAATTATTAACTAAAGTACATTAAATTAGGCAGAAGGCAGGCATTTTTCATGATGGCTTTCAACATGAAAGGCAGTTTTTTAAAAATTGCACCTTCTTTGCATTAGTTCATAGCTGTTCATCATTCCTGTCAGGATTATTTTGTTATTTTTAGAAAGATTACTTTTCTGGTAATGAAGATGTCACAATGGAACCAAGGGTGATTATGGGATGACATCATTATATTCCTATATTTTGGGGGAAAGATGTGGGTTGTTTAATATTTTTTAAAAAGAAAAACATTGTAAGAAATCTAATGTCAGAATGGTGCACTGCCTTCTAAACCCAAATATGAAAGCCTGAAGTTGGGTCACCCAGTCATTGCAAGCATGTGTATTTCAATGCACACTCCCAGTTTAATTCAGCCCTGAGCCTTTGATAACAAGAAGAGGCCCTGTTGATCTTAACTACCAGTGTTGTCGAAACTTGGCCACTTTAAGATGAGTGGACTTCAACTCCCAGAATTCCCCAG